TTGCTGAATAATGAGTCAAACGAGAATGATTTTTAATTGATGGAACTAGAAATAATAGCTCATTTGAGCAGTGTTTATGGTGATATTTGTAGAAAAAAGAAAAAGATACAAATTTATGGCCATGGGAAAAAGGCTCAAGCCTAGCTGATAGAGCAGGTCCAATTATTTTTACAATGCCTTTTTAAACTAATTAAATCTAAATGCCTAATTAGAAGAACCAGCCCAAATATGAACCACCCCAAATATTCCATAAAATGAATAATGAGAGATTTATATAGTTATAGAATGTAATCAGGAGTAAGAAAATGGTGAAAACAATAAGAAGAAGCAACCTTAGCAGATGCTTTATTAGCAATCTATTGTATATATGATTTCCATCAAAAGTCACTTCTAAACAATAATCCAAGGCGTAAAGAAAAAATCTCAGTAAGAGGGTTTCCATTTATAAATATAGGAATGTTGATAGTAATGCAATAGTTGTTTGCAGTAAATAACTGAGTTTGGTTGCAATTATAATTTACAAGCTACTGTGAGCCCTAATCTGTTACAAAAGTGAGATCGGATTTAAGATCAGCTTCCTGTTCTAAGTTATTGAAAAGAGAAAACATTTTGTCAAGATAAGAGTATAAAGTTGTATCAGCAAAAAGAGCTACTTTAGATGAAACAAAACAGAACCAACGATAGAACCTTGAGGTACCCCAGAAGTTACTAGAAATAGAGTTGGCCTTCAAAAATGACATTAATAAAGTGGTTAAAAAAAAACAACTTGATAATCTCAAAAACTTTCCCAGATGCACTATATGAAACAAGCTTAGATATGTCAAGAGCAATAACTCTAACCTCAAAATTTTTTGTAAGTCTATTACTTACTCTTTTTTTTTACTCTATAACTTTGACATTTCTAGTTTTTCTTTTTCATGTTGTACTATGCATGCTTTCTATCATATCTAACATTCATTTTTTCCCACCTGTGTGCTTTCATGATAAGGTTTGTCTTTACCAGTGTCAAACTTTACCATTTCACCTTTGAATGCTTACTTCAGGAACTCAATACTTTCTACTTGCAGGCCTCGTTTTAAAGTTGCAATGCGGGCCTCGTTTTTAAGCCTGCAATTTATGTATGCGTTAAATAATTTATTTTTCAATTTTTAAACTATTCTAGAAGTGGTGAGATAAAGGAAGTAATTAATTTTAAAACCATGTTAACTTTTGAATAAAGATTATAAAAAAAATTTTTTTACAAATTAGTAAAAAAAAAAACTAGCTCATTTTTATTGCCATTGTTTTTTTGGTTTTCCTTCTTAAACATTGTTTTTTATTTTCACTAAACATGTTACATTTTTTTTTTTATAAAGTTAGTAAAAGTGCATCTATTATTTTTAAATAAAAGATAATTGGTGTTTGGAAAAATAATTTTTGCTACTTGCTAATTATTTTGAAATAAAAAATAATTTTTAGTAGTAAAACCGCAATTAGATATTTAAGAAAGAATCATTTTAAAAATTTAACAATTTAATTTAACATGTTTTAATTCATTTATACAAATGTCAAGAAAGGAAAGAAATTTAACAATTTAATTTAACATTTATACAAATGTCAAAAAGAAAGGAAAATTTATTATAAAACATTTTTAAAAATGTAATATTAAGTTTTATTATTTAATATAAAAAAAAGTTTGAATAAAAATAAATATTCCCTAATATTTATTAAGAAAAAAACAAATTAAATTAAAAACATTTATTTTTTGGTAACTAATATTATATCAGTAATTTAAAAAAGTTAATGTCTTTGAAAATTAAAAAAATAAAGAGAACTTTATATGACATCAAGTTCACATTAGGCTAATTCGTTAAACATTTTTTATTTAAAATAAGGTCTGTATTTGTCCCTACATTTGTCATCTCTTATTAGTTTTAAGATGTCTGTTTTATAAACAAGAAAAATGCTATTTGTTTCCTTGATAAAACTCTCTGCTTTAATTATATTGCTTTGATCTTGTTTTTTTCTATAAGGGTTTTAAGACTACACAGTTTCTTGTAGTATTCATAAGGTTTTTTAAGCTTGTAGTATTCATAAGGTTTTTCAAGCTTGTAGTATTCATAAGGTTTTTCAAGCTTGTAGTATTCATAAGGTTTTTCAAGCTTGTAGTGTTCATAAGGTTTCTCAGTTTCTTGTAGTATTCATAAGGTTTTTTAAGCTTGTAGTATTTATAAGGTTTTTCAAGCTTGTAGTATTCATAAGGTTTTTCAAGCTTGTAGTATTCGTAAGGTCAATACTTGTAGTATTCATAAGGTTTTTCAAGCTTGTAGTATTCGTAAGGTCAATACTTGTAGTATTCATAAGGTTTTTCAAGCTTGTAGTATTCGTAAGGTCAATACTTGTAGTATTCATAAGGTTTTTCAAGCTTGTAGTATTTGTAAGGTCAATACTTGTAGTATTCATAAAGTTTTTCAAGCTTGTAGTATTTGTAAGGTCAATACTTGTAGTATTCATAAGGTTT